TAATACCAATTAATGAAGTTGTCATGATTTTTATTTAATTTTTAAAAAATTGTATTAAAAAAAAAAACAAAAAAAAATCTTAATTTATAAAAAAATTAAAAATTGATGATTCTCAATTTCTTTTAGAGAATTCCGGGTTCCCATAGAGAATCATTATTTTTGATGAGTTCCCATAGTAAGTCTGCCAAAATAACGAATTCTCTTAGAGAATCGTTATTTTTGACGTGTTTCCATAGTGGTTCCGCCAAAATAATGATTTCTCTTAAAGAATCATAAAATTTGGCGGGTTCCTATACAGTATTCGCCAAAATAACGATTTTCTCTTAGAGAATCGTTACTTTTAACTGGTTCCTATAGCGGGTCTGCCAAAATAACGATTTCTCTTAGAGAATCGTCAAATTTGGCGAGTTCTCATAGAGAATTCACCAAAATAATGATTTTCTCTTAGAGAATCGTCATATTTGGCAGGTTCCCATAGAGAGTTTACCAAAATAACAAATTCTTTTAGAGAATCGTTATTTTTGACGGGTTTCTATAGTGGGTCTGCCAAAATAATAAATTCTCTTAGAGAATCGTTATTTTTGACAGGCTCCCATAGTGGTTCTGCCAAAATAACGATTTCTCTTAGAGAATCATTATCTTTAGCAGGTTCCAATAGTGGTTCTGCCAAAATAACGAATTCTCTTAGAGAATCATTATTTTTAGCAGGTTTCCATAGTGGGTCTGCCAAAATAACAAATTCTCTTAAAGAATCGTTATCTTTAGCGAGTTTACATAGTGGTTCTGCCAAAATAATAAATTCTCTTAGAGAATCGTTACTTTTAATCGATTCCCACAGCGGGTCTGCCAAAATAATGATTTCTTTTAGAGAATCATCAAATTTGGCGAGTTTCTATAGAGAATTTGTTAAAATAATAATTTTCTCTTAGAGAATCATTATTTTTTAATGGTTTCCCATAGTGGGTCTGCTAAAATAATGAATTCTCTTAGAGAATCGTTATCTTTAGTGGTCTTCCATAGTGATTCTGCCAAAATAATAAATTCTCTTAGAAAATCATTATTTTTAACAGGTTCCCATAGTGGGTCCGCCAAAATAATGAATTTTTTTAGAGAATTGTTATTTTTTCATGGGTTCCCATAGAAAATTCTGAAGGTAAGTTGTCGTCGATGATAAGTAAGTGGATTTTTTCATTTTTTTTATTTTTTAATATTTATTTTTTTTCTTTTTCTTTTTTGTAGTTATTTTTCGGTTTCTTTTTTTTTCTGGATTCTATGGTACTTTTGATTTCGGTGGGAAGGAGCTTTTTAATTAATTTTTTTTTTTTTTAGAATCAATCTTTCTCTTGGATCATTTGGGTTTGGATTTTTATTATAAAATTTCTTTTTTATTT